CTGTCTCTGCCAGTGAATGCCACGCAGGTTCATATTGTCAACCGGGCACCTCTCTTCACTCACATGGGTGCGCCTCATCACTTTATAAGAGATTTCTACACCAGGATTAACAGGTACTAAAACTGGGAATTGTTTTTGGCGTTTATGTCTCCAGCTGTAATGGTTGGGGATCGGTACATTGTTTCCGGGATGGGCAGCATGGCACTGACTACAACCCACCCTTCCCCGCTGGATGATAACCGCCTAGAGTACCGCCTCCACCTGACCCCTGACTTTTTGCCCGAGATGGAAGAGCTGCTGTTGCCAGGACCGCTGTCAGACGAAATAAGAGTACAGGTCAGGAGAGAGAAACATTCAACAACGTTAAGAAAGAAATACTTGCAGGACTAAAATGGGAAAAAACTTTGTGTTCAACATCTGAGTGTTTTTCTTTAAAGGTCTATCGCAAATATGGAAAAGAATACGGAGAGAAGACTAATCCAAACATTAGCTACCACTTCTATGTACCTATCAGAAACAGCGACTTGACAGACATCTCACCTAACGGAAAGTGGGCTGTCTTCACAACACCCTGCTCTGTCTCCTGTGGATCAGGTAACGAACTGTTAATCACGAGTCCTATTGAAAAGCACCAAAAGAAAACCAGCATAATAATGTATTTGATGATAGATGTCATTATAAATTCACAGGCTGATTGCACATTATAGTCTTCGCTCTCTTGTTTTAGGAGCCGATGGGTTTTACAAATGAGACGAGGCATTTGTATGATAATGTGCAGCAGAATTGACCTTTTCGAGCCAGCTTTTGTCCCACACTTACAGTGTCTGTCTATTATACGGACAGGCAGTGTTGAATATGCCAAATTCATTTGTCATTGTTCTGATCGCACATGTTTTCAGAAGCAAATACCATAAAATGTCAGCTGAACTGATTAACTAAATGGTCACATACAATGCAACAAATGCAATAATATGAAATATTTTAGGTTTAAAAATCCCCCTTAATCTTGCTAACTTCATTGAAGGTGTTCATTAAGTAATTCTTTCTCTCTACACATATTAACTTTCTTAACAGGTGTAGAGAAGCATGTATATGTCTGTGTAGATGAAGACACCAACAACCATTTGGAGGAACACAATTGTGAAACACCTCCTCCACCCGTACCGCTCCACACAACCTGTCAGCTGTCCAGCTGTCACCCCAGGTTTGGTTCATACTCAACACTGTTTTATGTCCTTCTGTGCTCAGCACAAATGGTTATACATTAATAATTTACTGTTTTACAGTTGGGACACAGGGACGTTTGGGTCTTGTAGTGCCTCCTGCGGTGGAGGAGAGAGAGTGCGTCCCGTAAGATGTGTTCAGATACATGGAGCCAATGTGGTAAAGGTTTCAGATTCTGAATGCCCACCTGATACGGCTCCAGATACTGTTGAAAAATGTAACCTGCAACACTGTCCTGCTAGGTATGAAGTCTACACTGTACTGTTGATCATTATGTGCATGGGTCAAATAACGTCATATGACCACAGAGTATGAAGGCTTTCCGGTGTTGGTTTTTTTTTTTTCTTTTTTTAAAGAGAAATCCATTCATGTGTGTTTACAGATGGCGAGTGTCAGAGCCAGGGGAGTGTTCAGCACTGTGTGGGCCAGGAGAAGCAAAACGCAACGTGTCATGTGTCCGGCCAGAAGATGGTCAAGATTTTGAAGTGGATCAAAGTGTTTGTTCTTTGCAGATTAAACCGACTGATTCTGTGCCCTGTGTGGTAGATGTTTGCCCCATTGGATGGCAATCTAAGGGAGAGGTAAAGTAGAACATGACTAAAATCTCTCTCTTATTTCAAAAGGTGAAGGGTGTCTAAACACTGTCTTTCTTGACCAGGAACAACCAGTACTAACGTCTGGTGTGTCGCCACGCTCTAAACAGGCTCATGTGTATGTCTGGAGTCCTGTTATCAGCCAGTGCTCAAAGACCTGTCATAATGGTAAGTGAACCATGTGCTCACCTTCACTCAGAAACAGCCTTATCAGATAAGGTCAACCAAAGCTTGATGCTTGTGTAGGAACCCTGCAGGTCTGGTTCTCCTGTGTGGACCACCAGACCAGACTCAGGGTGACGGACATCCACTGTGATGCTTCCACAAAACCTCCTCCTCAGTCTGAGACCTGCAACACGTTTCCCTGCCCCCCCATGTGAGACACTATACTTGACATCCACATGCAGTATTTATGTATAATATAATGAAGTGAATCTCATGTGCGTCTTCAGTATGTAGTCTGCTGTGTATCCATGTTAGAGAAAGAAATGATGTTTAAAATAGGGACAGCAGCAAAATATCTTTTGTAACAACCAGGTGGCGCTCTAAGCAAGGAGTCTGCAGTGTAAGGTGTGGAGGAGGGGTGGCCAACAGGGTGCTGTACTGTGCTGTAGAAATAGAAGGGGAGGAGGAGGTGGTGGAGGATTCAGAGTGCAGTGTGCTTCTCAAACCCACAGCAGTGGTTTCATGTAACGACCACAGCTGCCCAGCAAGGTGAATCACACACAAACACACATCGTCTAAATATATTTTTTTTGCAAAGGCAAAATTATTTTAAATACTGCCAATCATCCAGGTGGAAGGTATTCAGCGCATCGCCCTGCTCGGAGTCCTGTGATTTGGGTGTAGCTCAGAGGACTGTGTCTTGTGTCCAATCTGTTCACGGCAAGGAGAGTGTGGTGCCGGAGGAAAGCTGCCGTGCAGCTGTGAAACCAGCCACCACAGTGCCCTGCCTGGTGCAGATCTGCACCTTGAGATGGGAGGCGAAACCATGGAGCCAGGTACATGGACTGGACTGTGAAGACGAGATTAGACTCAAGATGAAACAATCAGTTGATCAACCATCAAGTCAATTGACATACAATGAATGGGACTTTTTGACAATCTATTAAATATCTAAATTATTTTTCAAGCAGAAATAATCTATTTTAAAGGACCATGCAAGGCTTTTCAAATCAGTCTGCACTTAAACTGCATTACCATGAAATAATATTGCAACACCAAATGATTTTCATATTGTATGAAAATAACTAATAACCATATATAACCATAATTGCTATCTGGAATTGTCCGGAAAAAAACAACAACATCCAAATCTTAAAATCTGTGCATTGAAAATGCAGAATATGAATAGCTGCCTATTATGGAACTGTACCAGCAAACACAGTGGTATGGCCCTTTAAGAGCAATTTATTTCCCAGGACACAGAACTCCTCTTCTTGTTCCCAGTCATGTTCATGTGAATCAGGTTTTTTTTGTGATATCTTGCCAATCCAGTGTTCAGTACCGTGTGGATACGGGATCCAGTCCAGAGCCGTGCCCTGCATGGGCCCCTCTAAGGCGGAGCCCCTCAGCCCTCCGTTTTGTATGCACATGCCTAAACCCATAACCATCCAGGGCTGCTATTTGGGCGGCTGCGTTCTGCCCACCTCAGATGTCACCACTAAAGTTACGCCACAGCACCCATTGGACCGTCTTTCACCAAGTCCAACAGAGCCAAGCCCCGTTCCACGTTCCAGAACAACAATCCCAGCACCTAACCCCAGTGAGTACACATAAACTACCCATTCTCTGTGAGCGCTGCAGGCAGCTGCAGGAGTATCATTACAGTGTCTGCTTTTGACCAGGTGCATGTGGACAGCTACTCCTGGAGGAATCAGGCACGGTGGATTTGAAAGACGTGACCGGCCGCTGCACAGTATCCATAGGTCGACCCCTTGATGAGGTCATTCACATTAAAGTGGAATCTGGCTTTTTAAACTGCAAAAAGAGTAAGTTTTATCTACTATATAAAAGGATGATATGTCCTATGTCGTGACTATTGCAGCTAAATAAATGACTGTCACTCTGTGAATGTGTTTTTTTTTTTTTTTTTACAGAGGAATCTGTTGCATTTTTTGACCGACTGGCAGTTGTGAAGAAGTGCGAGCGGGTAGCGGGTAGCGAACTGACAACCAGAACCAACATCCTGCTGGTGCGTCAAAAACTGCTGACGCCCGGGAACGGGGTTGTGTTTACCTATAATTCACAGAAAAACACGAAGAAGAGCCACCATCAGGGTAAGAGTGCTTGTGTGTTCAGCACGATTCGTTTTCCTTTGCTATCCAAAAAGGCTTTCCTTTATTTTAAAAGATCGGATGAGAGGAGGCTTTACTTGCTTTTTGGAATAGTTGCAGCTATAAGTCAATTGAGCCCAATGTTGCAACATAAAGGTTGAAAACTATAACTAGAGAGAGTACGCAATATTGTGAACACTTGCACAGTCTAATGCAATCCAATACAAAAGCCCTGCAATAAGTACAGTGAAGTCGAAAATATCGTAATAACAATATAATACAGCTGCAAAGGTTTGTGTTGTATTGTACTTCTATTGTGTCCTCTCACCTCCCCTATGGATTTTGAATTGTTAACCTTTTAGCACTTTTATCTGCCTAAAGAATGACTTGAACCAGCACCTGACACAGTCAACTAAAACTCACATCTTTGGGCTTCTCAAATGAACTACTCCCAGCCTGGCCATTGCATTGGATTGCATTTGTGTTCATAATATTTTGTTGAGATGAAATGTGTTATGGCTTTTGCCCCACAGATTGTGACATTCAGCTGTTTTCGCCAACCAGCGTCTTTGAGAATCCAACAACGTCCAACACGAACCACACCTGTCGAGTGCTCATCAACGCCCCTCCCTCAGTGAAGATCAGAATCCAAGCGCTACACATCGGAGCAGTGTTCAACGCCACCAACTCCCAGTCTACATACATCATGGTGCGGACATGTTTTGTTTGCTATTGTTTCAAAATGGTTTGTTTGTATGTTATGGTATAATAACGACTGCCTTGTGTTACTTGCTCAGATCCGGGACATGGACGTCTTAGCGACCAATGTGTTTAAAGGCCGACAGCTGTTTCAGTGGCACTCCTCTGGAAATATGGCTGAGATTGAATTTCGTGGAGAATACCTGCATTCCAAAGGGAGCTTCAGAGCCGAATATTCCTTTATTCGTCTTTGATAATAAATATTAACTATTATTGGATTTTTGGAATTTACATTCAACATTTCTTTAGTTTACAATACTCACATATTCTTTCAACAAATATTAACTTCTATTTTGTTCGTGGAAAGACTTAAAATAAAAAAAAAAAAGAAAACATTCTCTTGTTTAGTTTTCATTTGTGGTAATTATTTTGACCCGAAATAACTAATAAACAAACCAAACCAAAGTCAAGTGAGGACAGTATTATTCTAAAGACTGCACTAGAGACTTGTAAAGTATAAATCAAGAATAAATATTCTACCATTATAATCAACAACTTATGTTAATGTAAAATGAGGTAAAACACAATGTATTAAAATATAGAATTTCCATTATAAAGAATGACTTCACATCACAAAGGCAGTCACGCATTGCACTTCCCACAACCCTTCGATAACAGGTTCCCCCCCTCAGCTCCAGCACACTCGGTACATTGTGCGTCTGTGCCAGCGTGGCTTTCTGCCAGCGACGTCGCCGCACCGGTTCAGTTCCAGCTCCCGCACAGCCCGCCAGGACAAAAGCACCATGCCAGGCCCCAGTGTGGGATCACTGCTCGGCTGTAGCTGTGTCTTCCAGGAGAGCTCTCATGTCCAACAGAGCATCCTCTACAGCCTGGGCAAACTTGGCCGCGTTCGTCTCGTCACAGCTGTTGAAGGCCGTGATGGCGATGTTGATGTGCTCATCCATGGGATTGTAACACACTCCATAGCCATCTGGCACCATTGGACCGAAGCACATCACACAGTCTGTCTTGGAGCCAACCTGGACACAGAGACGGGAAAGATGAGGGCAAACAAACAATCATTTGCTCAGTAATAATAGACTGTTGGTTTTCTTAGGTACAGATGTACCTGGCTGGTGGAGAGATTATAATGCTGAGCCACAGCAAACGAGGTATCCATGAATATCTCAGGCATGGAGGTCAGCTCGTTAATACTCAGCATCTTCAGTCCGAGGAGGTGTCTGTCGATGGCTTGTCCATGAATTGCCTGAAATAGAGTTGAATGTGTAGAGCTGTCATTAATCAGATGATGAATTGAAAAACTAAGATTTTTTTTTTTTTTATGTTGATAAACTCCAGTTCTCACTTTGTACATGTTGTCCTTATGTGTCCGAGCGGCCGCCTGCAGCAGCGCCAGCCTCTCTGTGTTCTGTTGACAGTATTTTCTGTTCAGTCAGACGGCTTCCTATTCAATACATTTATTGAGAATTCTGGTGGTTCAACAGTACCTGTTTGGCCGGGTCTTGCAGTGCCTGGACAAATTTAAACGAGTCTGTAGTAGTTGCACGAATTGCATCTGTTCGCCCATATTTAAACATCCGTAGCGATGCGCTCTCATAGGTGGAGCAGCAAATATTATACATCCTGGGATTCAAAAACAGGACACAGAATATTTGATGTAATACATAAAAGGGGACACATCATGCTCATTTCCAGGTTCATACCCGTATTTTGGAGTTTCTACTAGAACAGGATTATATGCCTGAATATACCTGTATATCACCCTCTGTCTGATTTTAGCACCTGTCTTATTGAACCCCCCTGATAAACCCAGTCTGTTCTGATTGGCTTGCGAGAAAAATATGGCGCACCTTTGCAAAGTTATTTCTCAAGCCGAGGGTGGAGATACCCTCGGCTTGAGTGTGTGTGTGTGTGTGTGAGTCTGTATGTTCCAATGAGCCTGCAAGTACGATAGGATGGGAAGCCAGTTCTGAATGGCTTGTTGAATCACATGTTTTCTGATCTAGGCAGCCCACAAACAACTGACTGGGTTGTCCTATTTCACAGTTTGTGGGTTGGAAGGCACACAAGATATCCAAATGTGTGTGCACAAGCACTGAAAAAGTGTGTTTTTCATGATGTCTCCCTTTAATGGTCATGTCCAGCATCATTTGAAAAGGGATTTCTTACCTGAAGTAGGCCAGTTGAAGAGACATTTGCACAAAGGCATCTGGACTCAGCTTATGTTTTTGTGGCAGTTTTCTTCCAAAATGAGAAAACATAAGCACCTTCACATCCAAGTCATGAACCATTCTGATGAAACAAAGAAAAGCGTGAGTTAAACAAAATGACTGACATCAAAGATGAGACAATAATAATAACAATCATAACTGCACTTTACATACATGTTCATATTTTGTTTGGCGTTCTCAATGTCTCTCTTGACCTCAGGTGTGATGTTAAAACGTAGTTTCAGAGGCATGGGCAGGGGAACCATAGGAGTGCGAACTATTTCACTCCTCGACCTGTTGAGAAGATATGAAACATTTTGTCCGTTTGAGTTCATTTCAAAAACGTCTGACTCTCATCTAAGAATTGAAAGAAACTTACATGTATCGAACAACGAAATCAATGAGGAACACAATGGGTGGACCCTCAGCAGGTGCGTGTTCATACACGAGTCCACTTGTGCCGTCTTCACCAACAATGAACTGAGGAGGATTGACAAGCACATTCAAATACTCACCCATTACCACAGTGCAGCTGATCACTTTGAATGTCAAGTCATTTGTCTCACACTCACCTGTAATGTCTTGTCAAACCAGCGGTTGCCGCTGTTCCAGCGAGCTCCGCCTCCATGCAGCATCTGGGCAGCCACGCGGCTCTGATACAGCTCGTCTGACACCCGCGGCATCGGAGCGTCCAGACAAACCGTGAAGATGCTTTTCTGGATGGCACGGACCGACTCCTTATTCGTTTTATCTGAGGAGGAATATAACCGCCTTTAAGATAAACATTTTCCGTGACATATTTTCTCTCAAATACTCACCTAGATTCATTGACTTGATTTATTCTAAATAAAATAACAAATCTATCGATACACAGCGTTTCGACACAGGCTCTTGAGGTTTTGGTTTCTCTGCTCACCCTTAATCAGATTGTTATAAGCTTTTCCCCAGGTGTTGCGGTGCTGTGATGTGAGGATGCCAATAGGCTCCTTGTTAGTCTGCAAAGAGGAGTTCCAGATCTTCTCCAACTGCATGTAAATCTGGTCTACGGTCAGCGGGGTGCCATCGCTGTGGTACACATCCAGGACAAAGAACTGGGGGGGGAAGACCAGGTCAGGTTAATTCAGCCATAGCTCCAGTATTTCTTTAGCCACTGGACCAGTGATAAGTATATTACAAAATTAGTTGCAAGAAGGAGAAGAACAACAGTGCATTCTAGAGTACCTGGAAGTTGTGGACCACAGTGATATGAGTGAGAGGTATTTTCCCGATGCTGTGATTAACAACAGTGTCTCTCTTTGGGCCAGGGATACGACAGGAGGACAAGATCTGGTAATACTGGTCCATACACAGCGGCTTCCCACTCAGGTACTCTATAGGCAGGGTGTCACTACGACACAGCAGCTCACATTATACATCTGCAGTTCTGCAAACCAACTGAAAGTCATGGTGATAAGGAGCTCTGATCAGCAGTCTGATATTTGCATTAGTTTCAGGCAAACTCACGTGTCAATCATTTTTTTAAACTCCAAAACTCCTGCAATCAGCTTGGCAGCAAACCTGCACAGAAGACGTCATTGTGTTACTGACAAATATGGTGATTCTCAACATCAATTATGAGCAGTTAGCTCTGAATGGAGACATTTACAAGTACATGTCATTCCATATGACCTACTAGTGTCACTGGCTGACAAATTGTGACAAATACCTGGCTCGTCCTAAGCCATTGGCTTCACTGGAGTATTTCTCTTTGGGGCCAGTGTGTCCATGGCATATCCCATAGGTCACGGTAGACAAAAACAGCTGAGCAATGCTATGAGCGGCTAAAGGGCTTTAAATAGCCAGCATGTGGAGGGAATCCTGCGCAAAGGTCGGCTTGAAAATCCAGTTTCATATGAGCCTGTTTACACTGCACTTCAACACAATGGAAATCATTTTTTTGGAAACAACTGTGTGCATAGAATAAGACCATTTGATTTGTTTTGTAAGACAAAGAGCTTAGTTACTGTGGTTTTGCAGTGGATCCTGGTTTCTCACCTCATCTGTCCTTGTCGATCGTGGAAGTGCATGCGAGGCAGGACAACCCCGGGGCTGGTGTAGACCGCCACCGGCATACGGCAGTCTAGATAGGCTGACTGCATCCACCATTCTGACAACTAAAAAAAGCAGTGGTCAGAAAGCAGAATAAAAAAAATGCTTCTTTACAGTTCTCCATTGCTTGTTGAGACTACAGACTTCAGACATATAGATGTCTTATACACCAAAATATTCAGCTAAATACTCCCGGATATCTACCCAGTTGTCTGTCTTGTGTGCCCGTCGGTCCAGGCCTTTCTGCAGCCTGTCCCCAACACCACCCGTGAGGAACTCCTTCACCAGCTGCCGGGTGTGTTCCAGCTCCTCCTCGCTGACGATGGGCTCCAGAGCAGCCAGGTACTGCTCACATGTCTGCTTCAAGGGCGGCACGGGCAGCTTAGGCAAACCCTCCTGGTGCACCAGGGACCTCTCTGGGATCTGTGTTACTGGTCTGACCAGGCGACATGGCTTCACCAGGCCGGGCCGCAGCTGGAAGACACGGTCTTAATGAGCACAAACTCTCCTTTGTCAGAACTGCTCTTTGGTCAAATAGTTCAACTGCCCACGTGACCATACTGTAGACGTGCTGCCTTGATATAATAATCAAAGAGTTTAGTGATAATCTCTCTAGTTGAACCTTAACATTAATTGGACTAAAGAGTTGACTGATGCTGCCTCACAAATCCAGGTGTCAACATGTTGTAAAATATGAAGTGCCTGCAATCAAAGCCTCAAATAGTAAATGACTCGATGGTTCCAAGTAAGAAAACTGACACCAAAACAACTGCAAAACAGCTAAACTGGTTCTTTGGACCCAGTGGCGTCAGCTCTGCCAGGTTATAAATAGAAGAGTGACACAGTTGAACCTTTGAAATGTTAGCTACATCAAAACACACATGAGAGCAATTTGTCTAGGCCTGTCTGTGCCCTCGTGCTCACTGGTGGTGACCAATAGTTATCCGGTATATTGATGATAAGATGGTCCATTTATAAATGGGTGTTTAGAAGTTAAGTAACAGTAGGAATATTCAGAAACAATGATATAAATCATTCGCATTAACGGCTTCGTTTTCATCTGTGTCAAGTCTACGGGCGTACAATAAAGAACTTCCGGTAGACGCTTTCAAAATAAAATCGATATGAAGCCCGTGTGTTGCAGTGTTGTTGTTGTGTAGAGAATATAAATAGAGGGGCAATACTGAAGATGACTATGTCGTCAATAAAACTATGTCGGCATACGCCACAAGTCGAGGTAACGTTGAGCTATCAGCTAACCTTAAGCTAAGCTAATGTTATGCGTAACGCTAACGTTTAAATGCGGGGCTGCTAAATGACGCTCTAAATCAACACTATTCCACAATAAATATCGTACCAGGCCAGTAAACCATGGTGAAACATGAGTTATATTTAACTTATATTGTCACCTTGTTGCTGTCCCGTACAGCGCCCCACCCCCGTCACTCAGTCTGATGCCGTAAAGCTAAACGTAACGTTACTGCGTTTGTTGATACGCACTTAAACTACATGTAGTTAGGATGAAAAAAAGCAATAGACTCACCGCGGCCTTGACAAAAACACCCAACATCTTGTCAAACAGACGCGTTAAAGTATTTGGCTGTCCGGGGAATATAGCAGGGAGACACTCGGGCAGTCATGTCTCAAGGACAAGCTCGGTGCGTATTCTCGGAGACCCGCCCCCTCCCCGGACCCACCGAGCCAACATAACTGCGAGCTCTCCACTGAAAGTCCTGTTTTATTCCAAGTGGAGTGAGGCACAAGCGTGCCTGCCGTTTCCAAATATTGTACACAAAATCGTTCAGCTATGACAAGCTGGATTATTTCATCATTGTATTTATTTTATGAGAAGAAAAATCCCTAATTGTATATAATTCCAGTAATCCATAATACTTATTAGTGTTTATCTTCTAGTTTTAGTCAATGCATTGTCATGAAATAGAGACAACCTCTATGACGTCTTACATGACTGGTAAAATGATAGCAATAGAAAAAAAATACAAGGTCACTATCACCCTAAATGTATATCTATCATAAACCCACTCTTGTGCACACATAACAAGAGCATAGTGATATCATTCATCAGGAGTTGAAGTCGCGATTTAAAGCCAATACATCAATGTTTTTTAAATAATGTAAGTTTTATTGATTAATAAAAGCAAGCTCTGAAATGAATAATACATTTACAGAATGATATTCTGCCTTGAGATGGTGCACGAGGCTGCACAGATCTTTTCTGGCCACATGATGGAGCTCGTCCAACGTCTTTCCAGAGAAACTGAGCGTTAACTAATTTCTTCAGGAAATAGGCTACAAACCAAAGACTGACTCCAGTAGCCCAAATGAATCACCAGAAAATAAGGTTTAAATGAAAGGTACAATTCATGTATACCGTGTGAAGAAAGTATATCATTGGCACGAGAAATGTTACTGTCCAAAAGTATTCCAATAAGAACATGATTGCTCTTTAAAATCACATTTCATCAACATTTTTCAATAACAGAGGAGAGAGGGGATTGCAGTCGTGTCATGGTTTATTTGAGAAGCAATAAAATAAAACAATACAAAGAAAAACAATCATACAAATCAAAATGCTTCAATTGCTCTGGTCCACCCACTGCCTGTTAACAGTGTATGTTTTAAAGAAATTGTTTGAGCGGCGAATATTTGTTCAAGGTCCGTCTGCTGCCAACTCACAAACTCAGATAGTCCACCTGAACCCAGCACTGAGATCAGGTTGGAGATGTTTGTGTTGTCCAACTGGTCCGAGTCTGAATGAAAATCATCCTCAGTTCTCATCCTTTTACATGGCACTGGCCCAAAGTCTGGCAAGTAAAACTCTGGATCAACAATATGATAACTTGTGTCCATCTTTCGCTTTTTAGTGTAGCACTGCGCGCCCTGCGGCTGTTTAGACTGCGCGCAACAGTCTGAGTGGAAGTATCCATTCGTGACAGTAGTCACCACATGCGTGTCCAAGTCCAGGACAGTCTTTTGGTTGGCTTGTAGGTTTGGGATAGGTAACTCCCAGGAGGATTTGTCTGCACAACTCCAACAGGCTTCCGAAACCATGAGGTCAGAGTCACTTGGTGAAAGCATTCCGCAGGCAGATGCATCTTGGTGCGCCACTTCTGCTGGCTGGCCGTTGGGCTGGTGCGCTCCGCAGTGCCAAGTCTCCGACTCAACCCCAGTAAAGTTGCAGTAGAAGTCATCAGCCAACTCCGTTAGGCTCCCGCTCAATTCAAAATAGTCTTGCCTTTCACGGACTGCCGCTACATCCTCATATTGATGCGTCCTTTGCGTTTGCGACACGTTTTTGCTCATGTAAAACTGCCTGGCGTTTCTCAGTACGTACGTTACCAGTAAGTTCTTGTGGAGCTTGATGCCTCCTCTCTGCGTCCTGGAGCTTTGGATTTTCCTCAAAGAAATGGAGATCAGGTTCTGTGCTTCAAATGCACACTCCATCCTCAACCGGGCCAGCCGTTCTTTCCTCTAAGTCTCTCAAATCGGTTGTTTCTTCACTGAAGAAATGTGTCTTTAGTTGAGATTCCTACTGGATTCGTGTAGAGACTGTGTCCATAGCGCTCCATGTCTCCCCAGTAAGGGCATGGATTTGCAACTCTCATCTTTCCTTGCCACGCCCTCACATCGACATTGTCCAATGAGAGGGAGGCGGTGCTTCTGTTATACGCAAATATCACTACCAGCCTCATTCAGAATGCACGTAGGAGCGGGCATGCTGCATTTCACTAAATGTGTTCTGTGCTTTTTAAATCTCGGTGCAGACAAAAATCACCACAATTATTGTCCATGTAGAAAAGAGCAGAGTAGAATAGAATAGAAAAAGAGGAGTGGGACAGAATAGATAGAACATAGTTAGTAATGCATTAGAATATAACAGAGAGTAATATAATATATTAGAAAAGAAAATAATGTGGTAACGAACAAACTGAATACAATAGAGCATATTAGAGAGTAATATAAACAAACAAGATCAGCATATACAATAGTAAAGAGTTACAGAGTAGACTGGAATAGAACAAAACACAATAGAAACAGAGGAGCCAAATAGAGTAGAATAAAGCAGTTAGTAATTACAATAGAATGGAATAGAGTAGAGAGTGAAAGCAAAGAGATAGAACCCAGTTGGTAGTTACAATAGAATAGAATAGAGAGTGACAGAATATAATAAAATAGCATGGGAGTAATAGAATAGAAGGACATGCTAGAGTATAATTTTATAGAGTAAAATAACACATACGAAAATAATAGAATATAACCTACAGTAGTAGAGGGTATAGTGGAATAAGAGTAGATTAGAGTAGAACATAGCAGTTATAATTACAATAGAATAGAAGGTCCTTGAGAGTAATCGACTAGAATAGAACATAACAGAAAGTAACTAAAAGGAATATAATAGAGAGTAATATAATACAATAGAACATAATATAGAGTAATAGAAAAGAACAGGATAGAGTCGAGAGCAATAGAATGGAATATAATAGAATGGAGAGTAATAGAAAACAATATAATCGAGTTGAGAGAAATAAAACATAATAGAATAGCGAGTAATATAATAGAATACAGTAGAGAATGACATAATAGGAAAAAACAGAATAGAGCAATTAGAATACAACAGAGCATACAGGATAGCAGTTTAATATAATAGAAAACAACAGTAGTACCATCATAGTAGATAATGATAGAATAGAATTTATAAAAGAGTAACCAATAGAGCAGAATACAGTAAAGAGTAATAGAATATAATTGATTTGAATAAAGACTTGTACAGGGTTATAGAATATATTAAAACAACAATATTAGAGAGTGGACTGGAGGATAACAAAACAGAATGGAAAGAGAGAAGTATAACATAGTTGAATATAGCAGTTAGTAATTACAATAGAATGGAACAGAGTAGAGAGTAATAGAATAGAATAGAATAGATAGCAATAGAATATAATAGAATAGTGTCGAAAGTAATAGAATAGAATAGAGAGTAATAGAATATAACATAAAAGAGAATAGTAGAAAAGAACATATTAGAGTAATGAGTAATAGGATACAATATAATAGAGAGTAATATAATAGAATACAACGGAACATAAAAGAGATGTTAATAGAATAGAATACAACACAGTAAAGAGTGACGGAATAGAGTTAAATAGAATACAGTAAAGAGTAACCAGTAGAGCAGAATAGAACATGCAGTATTAGAGAGTAATAGAATGGAAGATATTTGAATAGTAGAGAGTAATAAAGTAGATTTGAGTAGAATGAAATGGAATATAAAGAGAGAGAGAGAATAGACGAGAATAGAGTAGAATATAGCAGTTAATAATTACAATAGAATGGAACAGAGTAGAGAGTAATATCATAGAGACAGAATATAGTAGTTAGTAATGGCAATAGAATAGAATATAGTAGAGAGACAGAATAGAATATCCCTGAGAGTAATAGAAATAGAATAGAACAGAAAAGAAAGAAATAGAATGGAAACAAAGTAGAGAGTGATGGAAAATAGAATAGTGTAGAGAACAATAGAATAGAAAATAACAGTAGTACATAGAGAGAGATAGAACAGAGTCAAATAGAATAATAGTAAAGAGTAACCAATACATTACATTTTACATTACATTACAGTCATTCAGCAGACGCTTTTATCCAAAGCGACTTACAATAAATGTATTCAACATAGGTATTCAAGAGAACTACTAGTCACCAGAAGTCATAAGTGCATCTCTTTTTTTAAACACGCATCTAAGAGCATGAACCAGAGCAAAAGTACAGTGAAACAAACTAATACAAATACAATAAGTGCCACAAACTAATGTAGAGCAGAATAGAACGTGCCACATGAAAGAGTGATGGAAAAGAATTAGATAAAGAATTGTAGAGAGTAATAGAGTAGATTAGAACATACAAAGAGTAATGCAATAGACTAGCAGAGAGTAATAGAATAGCATATAATATAAAAATTATTAATAGACCTATTTTTGTAGAAGTAGATGCAGTTCAAATAAGCTTCTCAGAGCCATGAATGAAAGAAAGGCCAAGTCAAATATGTCACCGACAAGATCTTAAAACTGGAAGGATTCAAGAGTATAAACAACGGAGAAACAAGAAGCCAGCATAAAGGCAGACTAAAAATGGTAGGTTGGGATTGCACATGAAGAAGCACACTGTAAACCCCAACCCCAAAATAGAACAGAACAGATAGAGGAAAACTGTGGAGAAAACAATATTCACTTCTACACAATACTATACAATTATGTACGATAATACCCTTCTATACTATACTGTGCTGTACTGTACTGTACTGTACTGTAATATACCTGTTTACGAAACAAATCTTTCCTCAGAAGCCAAATCACATATACTCATGCAGAGTACATAGGTTTAATTCACACACACAGAGTTGATTATTAAGAATGTACTGTTTGGATGTGACAATGATGTCATGAGGACTGCCTCTGACAATAGAAATAGTGTCACCGCACTCACATGTGTGGGGTAAAAGCTCTTTGGAGAGAGATTATCTGTCATCCGTGCCCCAGATCTGTGTGTGTGTACACACACAGATGGCTGACATCATCCTGAACACCTGGATGTGACTTTGATTTCCTGCCAAATGCGTGAATCAGGAGGACAGCCACTATTACGGTTATCATGCTCT